TGTACATTTGAAATCTGATTTTTGTTTAATAAACAATTTTTCAATGAATCTGTCTTCCTTCTGTTGTAATGCGATTGTGTTCCAGTAACATAAGTAACTCGTGCTAAGTTAGGAGTTGAGGGTAAACTGTTAGGAGTAAATGCGGTGTCTGGAAAACTTTTGTTTACGTGGTTATAGGAGCAGATAGCAACGCATCGTGTTCCGTGGGTGAGAGCCCTAGGCATTCTGTTTTTAATTATTACGATAACCGTAGTTGCACTGAGTTATACATCTAACAGCATAGGTATAGTCTCTCCTTATGTTACATTGCGACATGCAGAAATCACAAGCAAACTATCACGGGTAAATTTATTCTCACTTTGTGACTATGAATCGGGAATCAGTTTACGTATTCTGCTATGACGATATATAACTCGAAACGCTTTATAATCGCAACACCTTCTCTACGGTTTAGACATATTTACTTTATTTGACCACAACATAATCTTTTACCAATAGGCTTTTCCAAATATCTGCTCCTACTTAGTATTTCAAAGATAGCCTCATATACTCTATACCTCACATATTACGCAAGGGCTAATATTCGGTCTTATCAAGTAGAATAAACAAACGATTAACGAGGAATACATTTATTAATGAATTAACATGTAATACAAAATCGACAACAGTGCAGGTATCTTTTTCTTTATCAACGAAATCCATGAAATTCCCGAAAGTAGATATTATCTGAAAAAGGACATAAGATATATACAGATATAGACATTGTTATCAGTGTTAACACAATAACTAACCATTAAATATGTTTAAAATGACGAAATAATTACTTGAATTGTATATAATTATGTAAGTCCACAGTTTTCAATAATATAAAATCCATATTGCATCTGCCTGCAAACATCAAGTTTATGCCATAAAAAAAGGAATTACTTTGCGTATATAATTTCTAAGTATTTCTGCAGATTTTTCCTAAAGAAATACATATGGAGTAGCCTTGTCAGCATTACGAAAATTAAACAAGGAAGTAAATGATATAATTACCGAAACGAGCTATCCCACCTCGTCATGTCCATGTGTAATCCATTAAAATGCAAAATAAATTCACGAAAAGATCATTATAACATGTTTCTTCAAGTAATTCGACGTATTTTGAACGGAAAAGTACGTTTTTCCAAAAAACTGCAAACTGCCTGTAAGCTACGGCCGGATAAGGACACCACCATTGCCTATTTCTGCTAAATACGCCGTATTTCATCAACTTTTAACTGGAATATATGTAAAAAAGTGTGTAAAACAACGAAAAATGACCTAACCTTGACGTCATTTCCAAAAATAACGCCAATATTCATCAGCTGATCAAATGACCTACGGCCGTCTACAGGCTGCCGACGACTAGCTACAACTCGAATCAACGAAACCGCGCAAATGCCGTCAAGGTTAAGCCAGAGGCGCCACTTCAAATAGGGGATATGCTTTATCAACGCCCGAAATATACAACTGGTCACCTTGTAACGTCAGAAGACAAGGTCCAGGTAACAGAGCGTTTATTGAAAAAATCAAGAGGTACTTATAGATTTTTATATACATTATTGTTAGCTGAGAAGCAACGTCTTCCGTTTGGCTGTTTTTCTGCCGAAGGTTGTTCTGTTATCTCTTCATGGTCGTTTCTCAGAAAATCAAGCCACATTTTCCCGCCTTAACTCCACTGTGACTGGCTGGTGATTTTCTCAAGGTTAAGCATTTCTGTTGTTTTTCTCGGGATTCTGATTAGGGACATGAACATTGGCATAAATTGTTATCTACAGTCCAGGCCTGCAGTCAGCTGTCACCACAACCTTATTAATATTCCCACGACACAGAAGACTAACTGAGAAGACAAACACTTATTGATCCACGGAAAGGCATCAAGACTAACAGTGACGGCTAGTTACATATTACACTGTATTTTTGGTACAAGTATGGAATTTTCAGCATGGATATCGGTAGCCCAAATTTCGCAGGCCGACCATAGATATCAGGTGTGCGTCGTCAGGGGATCAAACCTGGGACCATGTGCATGGTAGACGAGAGTCCTAACCACTGTGCCACCGACTTTAATCAGTACCACGTGTCTTACATACCTAGGGAATTTTCTGAACTGCACTAGTGCAGTACATGACTCTTAGATACGTGCCAGCTTATCGGATTCAGTCCACTTCAAAAAATTATGTTCTATTTCGTCTTATTATTAGGCATTTGTTACATTGGACAGTACCACTGTGGACAACATCTCTACCTACTCGAGTATCACATGTTAGGACTATTAGCCAGAATGAAATACATCTGTTTATTCTTGACGGTAAGAAACTTTAGCGCTAAGTAATTCCCAGATCTATAAAAAACCTCTTCGGAAGTCTTTGAAGCTATACTGATTGTTCTCATTCAATAAATACCTATATAGCGGTAAGTAAATCCACAATATTATTGACCGCAGCAATCATCAGTGAACATCGGATGCTGACCATTAGTGTTATGTCGACTTGTTTAGCTGAAGGCTGCCGGTCAAGCATCCTCGCCATTTGGTACTTCATCGTGTCACGTTCGTGCACGATCGCTAGCCAGCTTAGCTTCCGCTTCAGTCCACTATTTGGTCCCGAAATATATCTCGTAATTTGAACGATCAATCATGTCTTTTGCTTTGCCTTTGGTACACGAGAAACGAATATTATAGAAGTTGTTGGTACAAGATCTTGCGTTAGTATACTCCGTACAATTCGCGAACGTCAATAGCGTCAGCTTCTAAACCTACGAGAAAGACCTTATGTAAGTAAGCAGATTTAATTTTACCTGACCATAAGTGCTGTTTGAAAGATCGTGATGTAGATAAGCCACTGAAACTCAGCTGTAAATCAACAGTGGTTAAGGGCCTTGTCAACTATCCATGTCTCCACATAGTGCAGCTTGAATGTACTAGGATCCAGTACGGCAGTAAATTTATAGTAGTATGAGTACTTGTTAGCAGGCACTACATGTCATCGGAAAACTTCAGGCAGTCTCGAGTAACTGGAATCATTGTCAGCGAAGTACGTCGAAAATGTTTAGCTTGTGGAGGCCACAACCTGCGACAGAATGTCAGTCAGTTTTTGGTATCAATATCCAACTCAGTCACATGTTCTGGAGTTTCTGCTATGATGGCATTACTGGTGATGCCATTTAAATTTAGGATTCTCACAACATGTTTCTAGAAGTGCAGGAATTATGATTGGCAGGCTTACCTTCTCTGTATATCCTAATCCTTAACTTCTGACAAATACGCTCCTGTTGTCTACAAAACTTTCCGTTGCAGCACTTCAAGTACCCTTTTCAAGCTCAAAAGTATTTAAACGAAAACTAAACCAATAAAGTGCACATGAGGGAATGTGAGAACCGTTTTCGACATCATTTATGCAGTGCGGTATTAACATTTGTGGTCTATTCGTTTACCTGTACATACCTCTTGGTTGTGTGGTGGCAAAGATTTATGCTCACAGCTTCCCTCGTTGAACATATGGTGCTGATCATCATTGTCTGCGCTTAATAGTTTGAAGGAAGCGATGTGCATCACAAATTTTTTCTTTTAGCAGACACGTATAGTATGGGAAAACCCGCTTCTAATATTCTTTGAAAGGAAGTTGCACCGTCAGAAAGGAAACGTATTTCTTAAAAGTCTACCACTTTATGTTTTGTGTCTTTAAAAAAAGTTGAATACTTGTTATGGTTAAGCCTAGAGGTGAATCGCACTTATAGTGGTGGCCAGTAAATTTGCAGGCCACTTGGTGATGGTTTTATAATTACTTTAAATTTGAGCACAGGAAAGGGAGAAGTTTCGAAAGGCCAATTTCCTTGGTCACTATTCTGTTAATGATAAACCGAAATAAGATTACCTCTTCTGAGGGGCTGAAATCAGTATTTACGGCCTAAACATACGGAAAAATGGGCGAAACCAGACTAATAAGAGCCACAGGATCTGTTAAGTTAATTGGTATAGTTTGCCAAACGTCGATGAGCCGGGCAGAATTAAAACTTTATGGGCCCACTATTTAATATGATAAATCTTCGCTACAAAGGAATATTAGTAGTTTACATAAAAAATAGAGAAATATCTGAACCACGGTGCTGGGTAAATATAGATCTCAAAGGTTCCTAAGAGGCTAGAAGGTGAAAAAGGGCTAACCAAAAAGGAAGTAAATTACATGAAAATAAACCACGATATCCTAAACAAAATAAGATCAGAATGCAGTCTGAAGAAATCAAGAACAAAATATGCTCCTCGCAGACGTTCCTAAGTCAAACAGTCACTTCATGATGCAGCTTTCAATTTATTCAAGTGGAGTAACTACAGCTCCTGCACCACTCAGCTGAAAAAAGGAGTACAAGTCGAAATAGTACATGCAAGTAATAGGATGGTGAGATGAAGATTGGCTAAGTGGACAATAATTGCAGAAGTAATTAAGGTACTCATAAAGATATCAAAACTGGAAATAGACTGCTCCTTTCAACGCAGATGTACATTCTCTGTAATCTTTACAAGGCCTGTATCTGTTTCATGAAGCAGCAGCCTGAATGCAGTATTTAGGATTCAGCATCATCTGCGACAGAGGCCACATGGTCATGGTCACGAATTGCGAAACCACAATCCATATTGATCATGCACTAAATGATTTCTCGTTCCTTCCAGCTGAGGAAGAAGTTGAAACTCAGTCTCTAACACAAGAAGCAGGAAAACTTCAAAGACCCAATATTAATGAAAATAAGAAGGAACAAAACACTTTAGATGCTCTGTTTGATCTTTCCTAATTCAATTTTTAGCTGAGTACATTTCCCTGGTTCAGCTGGTGTTCTGCCTTCGCTATACGCATGACTGCTAATCTGTCTGTTGCAGCATACTGTTGCGAAGGAATCTATCTGATTGAACCAATAAAAAAATTTTTTCAGATATATTTTACAACTCCGACAACCTAAATTTCATGGATAAGTCACAGAATTGAATATTGAAGGTTTTTATGTGCGGTCTATCTGAAGGTTGCGGTGCGTAGGTATGTCCCCACAATGACTCTCTCTTATGGGTGGATTCGGCGTCATTCCAGAAAAATACTCAGTAACATTCACAATAAAAATATCTCCTGAGCAAGCGGGCAGCCTACAGGGTGTAGCACGCTACTTGGATTAGTCGATTTTAGGTTAATTATAGTGTTTGATACTTCCTAAATAAAAAAACATTTGAGGGTGATGTAACAGAGAAATTCTGACGAAATCTTGAACCAAAAAAGCTAAAAACCTCTCTAAAACCTCGGAATTTCTCTTAAATACCTCGTCCCTGTATACGGACTTATTATTCACTCATAGATTTGTTACTCATTTGGAATGTTAGCTACCATTTATGGCCCCATTGCATGAAAATGTATGTTCCTCTAGTGTACTCGTCATTTTTGCATGGCGCCAATTCATACTAGAGCAGCATAGCTAAAATACCGTCCACCCACGTATCGTAAGCGTCGATAAAATCCGGTAACTCTAAACTATAGCAACCCGAAACGAAACTACCTCTATCAACCGGTCAGATTCATAAGAAGTAGAATTGTGGAATTTGAAATAAACGTCTGCATACAATTAATGCAGTGCTGAAATGGTTACATCGGTGTGCTCATTGAGTAGGTCGTTTTGGGTCGCTATAATCTAGTCACCAAGTGGAGGAGACTTTTGGAGAGTAGGGTCCCAATTCGGAACTCCTCATCCGACTTAATTGTAAACTTCGCATTTTGTCTTAATTTTCGCCTAACTTCAAGCAAGATGGTTCTTTATGGCAGAAGAGCAGGTTGTGAAACAAAAACATATCTACCTGAGAGAAAGATACCTACTACTTTTTCTGTCTCAGCTGAACTAAGGAATAACAGTGATCGCCTGGTATAACTGATAGGAATGTTCTCTTACTTCAGGCTGTGTACCTTGGCAATTATGTTGAACTATCTGTTAATGTATTTGCACCGAGTGTTATTCAATAGCAGCTTCATAAATGTGCTCATGAAAATGTCTGTACTATCTCAGGGATTGGTGTCGCAGTAGATATTTGACTTGGATGACAGTCAGGAATGAAAGGTTTTTGAACTCCGAGTAACAGCGCGAAAGTGTTTAGGATTCAAGTCTTAATTCTTAAGCCTTAAGTGTTGACACAAAACTGGTATAAGTTGATGCCCCATTTAACTGCATAGGTTGAATTGTTTGAGACCGTTGACCAACTCATTTACCTAACATATCGTCAGTCGTGGGGAATCATTTTCTGACAAAATCTCATCACTGATATAAATGAATCACCGAATTTTTTTTTTCACCAAACAGCATGACTTACGACCTAAGTATCTTACCTCAAACTGTGAATTTAACTTTGGTACAATCCACATTATGTTTCGGCTAGATAATTGTAAAGGCAATTTTTGTATCGACTATTCAGAAACGGGAGGGAAGGTTTTCAATAATGATGCTTTTACTTGTGCTATTTGCCATAATTTAAAGCTTTTGAAGATTGAACAGGGACCCGGGACACCTGGTACTGAAAATCTTCATCCATGTTCCGGAACTAGTGGGATGATAAGAACACTTGTCCTATACATAGTTTCTTGGATTGATCTGTTTATCAGTTTACATGCATTCTAGCTTTACATTTCGCTTTCATAAATCAGAAATAAAATGTCTAGTCATAAACACTCGACTTTAGAAAGTATTTGTAATGTGCTTATGTATGTCTGCAATTTTAAAAGTACTCTAATCTGTTTCTATTGACTTTCAGTTCGTTCTTCATGACATAAACCTCAGGTGTGCGTGAAGCATGCAGTTCTATGTAACATTTGTGGCTGTGTTAATCATCCACAATGCATTGGTAAGATTTTGTATTTTTCAGATTATTGTTTTTGTCTTCAAACTCTAGGGAGCTTATGAGGACACCCGGTGTAAATGTGTCTGTTTGCTTCCAGCCTCTGTCACTAATGAAACAAAGTCTACGAAGAAAATATTTGTTAAAGCGATTTCTTCAGAAAAATGGTAATTTACTTCACATTTTATAATATAATGTTCCTATTTTGTCTATAGCACTTGTGAATATATGTTACAAAATGACAAACGTTTTTGTCCTTTTTGTGAGTGCAAATTCCAAGTTCGAAATACTACGACAATCAAGGTAAGTCTTAATCTTTGTATATTTGGTTTGGCGTATCTCCTATTGCCTGCTATTTAGCAAGTTTACGTTTCAAATTATATAAAATATACTCATAACAATCTGTGAAGCATGAATTTATCAGGAAATGGATAACAAACATTTTTAGGTCGTTTGTCTTACAAAATAAACAACAGCTCTCCGGTTAAATAACCTGTTATTGAGTAACTCAAGAGTATTTATCAAAGTGGTTCCTTCACTGTTAGGACACTTGATGAAACATCTTAGCGTTACCAGAACTAAATTCCATTTAGGTGTTATTGCTGTGATATGGAAGATTCATACGAACTGTGATCAAGATTTGATCGGATAGTTGCAAAATAATTGAGCGCTGAGTGAGAAGTAGACATTTATAAAGTTATATTTGTAAAATCTCAGCGAAATTGAATTGATTAATTCCAACGTTTCGTTCGGCAATCTGGTCCGAACTTCTTCAGGGAAATTAATCGAAATTAACATAACAATCATCGTATTTTCAATCTCCGTTGTCTGCAACAGAATATCTATCCTAAATCCATAACTGTCAAATCACCTGATAACTCTAGCAGATCAATTAAAGCAGCTCTTTCCGCAACTAGAACGTTTGTACGAGAACGCGTCCACAGAGCAACCAAAAATATGGAATTATTTCGTATTCGAATGTCCAATTTAGATGAAATCTTATCTGTCTTGGTCACATCAGATTTGAAGTCTCTCATTGATAACATTTTTAAATTTAAAGAAGAATTTTATCTTCAATCTTCAAAAAGAAGACAAATCAGAAAGTTCGACAGGTTGCTTCAATTAAGCAATAATCCTAAAAACCATCAATTTGAAAATCCGTCTAGTCGTAACTGTCTGGATGCGAACAAAGTGGTGGTCAATCTCTCTGACAGAAATTTATCAGATGATGAACTATCCCTCCTTAAAAAGGGACTTAATTTCAATTTAAACAAAAGGCGTTTATCAGCCTTTGAAGTAGTCCCAGCAATTGAACCATCGTTAAAGTCAGTGACAGCCGAAGAGGCAAACGTCATTAGACACAAAATTGCAGCAGTACTACTGAACCAGAAGCCAAATGCGCCGAATATAAATAAAAAGGAGCAAATGGCATTAAGACAACTACAGCAAGATAAGTCAATTGTAATTACAAGAGCAGATAAAGGCAATATCACAGTTGTCATGAACTCTGCAGATTACGAAAAGAAGGCCATTGATCATCTTAATGATGGACCTTATGAAAAATTCAACGCGAATAAATCAAGAGCGACATTAAATAAGCTGAAGGCTGAAACAAGCAAAATGCTACAGTCAATAAAAGAAAAGCTCGGTGTATCACTTTGGTTTACTCTGGCTCCAAAAAGTTGCAGCCCCTGTAGATTTTATGGGTTACCAAAAATACACAAACCAGAAGTACCATTACGTCCAGTAGTGGATTTTACTAACTCTCCAACATACAAACTCTCAAAATACATTTATCGAATTCTTAGCCCATATGAAATGAAAGTGGAGCATGGAGTGAAAAATTCGTATGAATTTAAGAGGAAAATAAATTTGACTAATATTGAAGAAGATGAAATAATGGCAAGTTTCGATGTTTATTCATTATTCACGAATGTACCCGTTAATGATTCTTTAAGTATTATTTATAATTTACTTTGTGCTGACGACGAACTCAGTGATCGTTGTCCTTTAAATCCCGACGAAATTATGAAGGTATTAGAACTGTGTCTTAAATCCACGTTATTTACGTTCAGAGGGGTTCTTTATCGTCAAATAGGAGGCATTGCTATGGGATCACCAGTATCTCCGCTAGTCGCCAATCTGTTTATGCACTCATTAGAAACAAATGCAATTATGAGATGCCTTAGTCCCCCAAAGATGTGGTTAAGATACGTAGATGATACCTTCATCATAATCAAACGTAGTTTGTTAAATGAACTTTTTCAGTTAATAAACAATATGTCAGAAACCATCAAGTTCTCCAAAGAGGTTGAATCCGATGAAAATGAGTTGGCGTTTCTGGACTGTTTAGTAAAAAGAAAATTAGACGGAAAATTTAAAATAAACATTTTCAGAAAGCCGACAAATTCGGATAGATACCTAGATTACCATTCAGCTCACCCATTTACCACCAAAGTAACTGTGGCCAAGAATCTGATCAACAGAGCCAAACGTCTAGTTACTGAGGAGGAAGATATTAACGAGGAACTAAAATTAGTTCAATCCACTCTTGAGTCAAATAATTATCCTAAAGCCTTCATAAAAAGATACTTAAAATGTGAAGATAAGGATGAATCAAAACCTGCTGCTAAGAATTGGGTTAGTACAGCGGTGGTTCCTTACCGCAAAGAAACGTCCGATGAAATAAAGCGAATCCTTAACGAACATAACATAAGAGTGTACTTTCGTGCATCTAACACCTTACGTTCATTGCTGGTGAAGGTTAAGGATAAAATAGAACAAGAAAACCAGCAGAATTGCGTATACCAGATCAATTGTGGGGATTGTAACGCAGTATATGTAGGAGAAACTTCTAGACAGGTAAATATAAGAATGAAAGAGCATAAACAATGTCTAAAGGTGGTTCCAAAGAGCTCTGCAGACTTGAAGAAGCTAGAAAACAACTCAGCGATTGCGCTACATTCAATAGAAACGGGACACAAAATCGACTTTGATAAGACTAAGGTTTTACAAAAAGGTTTTGGTTCATATCAAGAAAGATTAACTGCAGAAGCCCTACATATATGGGTGAATCCCAACAGTTTAAACAGACGTGAAGGTGTGATGTTAGCCGATGCATGGCAAATCCTGACTAATAAACAAAGTAAAATTTGATATGTATGATCAAGTAGTCACACTTAGTCAAATTCCCGACTGTCTACGTCTTCTTATGGAGAGAATAACAAATCTATAAAAATTAAATTATATTTATAAAAATGTCAATTATTTGTAACTATCCGGTCAAATCTTGATCACAGCTCATATGAGAATAGCAAATGTTTTATGACTGTTCCACCCACCCACACACATACACACACCATTGTATCCTGCATATACTGCATACACACATATATTTTAACAAAAGTAGACAAATTTTGAAAGCCTGAGGTCAAAAAGTTTTTTGATCATAGTTCATACAATTTTTGTTTTGTTTTGTTTAGCATACCTATTGACTGTACTTTTGTATAAACATACAATTCTATTTATTTATTTATGATACATGTTGATACCTGTTGCATGATTCATGATTGGACAAGAATTTTAAAAACAAGATGTGTCCCTTTATATATAAACTTTGTTATGTTAATTTCGATTAATTTCCCTGAAGAAGTTCGGACCAGATTGCCGAACGAAACGTTGGAATTAATCATTTCAATTTCTCTGAGATTTTACAAATATAACTTTATAGATATGGAAGATTGTTACATGTACAGCAGAATTTGTAACTTACTAAGCAAGAGAATAATAAGAGTATTCATTTAGCCTAATTTTCATTTGTCAAAAGACAAGAGTCTAAGCACCCATAGTTAGATGACAAGCGTGTTAGTGCCAGTTACTGTTACATTACCATGTTCTATTAATTGGATAACGAAGCTTGGGTAATAATTTAATTGACTGACTAACTGATTCAGTTTCAGTATAGAATTTCGCATAGAAGTGCGACAGTTCAAGTTACCACATTTCGTGTAGCATACAGAGGTGGTAAATGGAGAAAAAAGAAATCCAAAGGAATTACAATGAGCATAAGTGTGAAGGAAAAGGAATAATAGCATAAAAACACGAGAACTTAATGGATCTAGGAGATTACAAAGGGTGATTGCATGTGCACCGTTAAGAACGATTTTGAGCCATATCACTAAGAGTCTCAAGCATTGGTTCTTAGAATCCCAAAGGCTTCAACCAAGAATGATTGGCTGAAACCAACAGTCAAAGACATCGTGGATCGATGCCAGGTTTTGGTTTGACCACCACTAACTCCTACCTAATCAACAACTAAGGTGGTAGCTCCGGCATGGGCAGCGCGTATCCTATGCATCTCAATCGATGTAGCTTCACAACCACATCGATTGGCCTCCCTTCCTTACGTAATATTCTCCCCCTAACATCAGTATTACTCACCATATTATACTATTTAAGACGAGAGATAAGACGCAGGGACATATGATCAGAGATAGCTAGCTGTGTCGTTAGCATAAAGGAGGACGGAGCGAACTGCTGGGCGGATCCCACGTCTAAGCCGGGGGTGGCGTAAGTTAGCATACACCAAACGAGCCTTTTGTATCCGTGCTGACAAGAGCGTTGAAAGTGGAGGAATTGAAAAGACTAGCTTTCTTTGACCGTGGGTGTCCGCGATCTGCCTTCCGTGTTAGGTGAGTAGTACTGAGGTTAGGTGGAGAGAGCTACGTAAGGAAGAAAAATCATTTGGTGAAGTTGTGAGATGTCTATGACACGTGTTACGCATATTGAGTCACTGCCTTCATCGTTAAACGACGTTAACTGACGTAAGACTAGGTTGGGAAAGAGTTGGGAATAGTCAGACTAAAACCTGACAACAGTCCATGAAGTGTAGAGTGCCTAGTTGGAACGCTAGGGATTCTAAGAAGCAATGATTGAAAATTGTTGATGTTGAAATTATTCTCAGTGGCTCAGATGCATTCTTTTTTTGTAATGAAATCCATTAAACTGTCATGTTCTTCCATGTAATTATACTTTTTGCCGTGCATCCCTTTGAAATTTTCGGTATTTTTTAGTGTATGAAGTTTGGCAATTTGAAGTGCTGCACATTTGTGCGAAGTTCTTCATTGAAACTCAGTTAATCAGTCAACAAACAGTTGAGATTGCTGATATCGTATATCATAAATAATCAGTTGGAGTCATTAGCTGATATTTATTCATGAATCTTTGTGTCGGATAAGATTACTAGACGACTATTATGTGTCAGTTTAGTGTTTCCATTTCGAGGATTTTTCAGCATTTAATCTTTTGGTGATCACAGTAATTGTGTATGAATTTAGTCGCCATGTGAACTGTGAGGAATTTTGTTCTACAATATCAGTCGTACTAGGTTTGAAATTCGATCAGTATGCACTCAGGATTCACTCGTTGGTAGTGCAACACTCTAACCAGTTTTAGTTAATTCCAAGTGCTTATTTATTTGATTGATTCACTTTTACTGGTAGAGGTAATCACTACAAGTCGGTTAATCAATAGCCTAACACGGAGTGCTGTCATTTATACACAAAATCGATTACATTATTGAATGAAATTATTTTGAACATATTGTGAATTGATTTTACTAGGCTGGAATACTTGTCCTCTTGACATTTTGGCTCCAAGTAACTTGTGCTTCAACAATATCTGAAGATTTACTTGATCTTAATTGGGTGATAGTAAGTAGCAGTGAAATCCAGTCCGGGTGTTTTATCCTATTTAGAACTTAGTAGCTGGACGTATCCTGTATTCCAATGAGTGATGGTGCTCCCACACTGAGATTGAAATCCAGCACCCGTTTTAAATTCGAGAGTATTACCCATCGAGCTATTGAGACACAAAATCTACCTTCTTAATGCAAGTACGTGTCCGGATGGCGAACCTCATTCGGGATGAAACGCCTGCCTTAGATTCTACGTCTGACAACTATCAACGAAATAAGTCTGCAGTGGCCTAATAATTCATACATTCAACTATAAAACTTTAGATTATGCTAATTCTCCAGCTAACACTCAATTCGACTCTTAACGGAGTTAAGCGTCAAACTCCACTTCTCCTACTGCACACCTTTGCAAATAGGGCATGTCATATTCTCTCAGAGACTAACTATTGCTCACAACCTAGTATGTAGATGTGTTGGGTCTGAAATTTCCTCTAGACACCATGCAATTTTATGTTCTTCTAAATCAGCACAGAAGAGAAAATTAAACCACTGTGGTTACTTGGAAACGTTGATTGTCTCAGCGAATGATTGAAAGTCCAAATGTTTGCCTTAGTGCTATGACATTGCCTAAAAATGACTGCTGTTCCTGGTGTAAAAGAGTAAAGCGGTAAATTCCAATGTTCTACTTTTTTGTGAAAGATTCTTACCCCTTAATTTTTTCAAGTTCTAGGCGAAAGTGTGTGTGTATCTGAGAGTGTACTCGTGCCAACAGAGGTAAATTATCACGAGCCCATAATATGGTTATCAAGAATCCTGTATTTTAATCACAGGAAACTTATTTTTGTAAAATTTTCAAGGTTGTTTAGGTGTACACTTAAACTTTGACCACCAAAGAGAAAACTGCTACTTTCCCATAATTCTCTAGCAAGCGGCGGTCAAACCAGAACATGGCTTCGTCAGTCAATGGAACCCACAACAGTTAGTTTAAGCCAGCCACGTAGGAAGGTGTAGACTTCCTAACTGGTTGGGGTCCTCGGGACGGTAAACACCAATGAAGGTTGGAGACAATTGGCGATATGGCTCGAAATCGTTCTCAATGACTGGTGCACATGCATCCACTCCTTGTGACTTATGATTTCCAATGAAAATATATTGTTCTTCGTTATTACTATTCCTTTGTCTCACACCTCTTTTTACTGTCTCTAATATGCATTTCTTGTACTTTCTTGTGTTGCTTTGTGTGGTACAAGGAGGTAGTGTGGTGACTTGAACTGCCGCACATTTGTGCAAAGTTCTATGTCGAAAACAGACAGACAGACTTACTAATGTCTAGCTCTTGATCAAACAAATCCTCGCAAACCAACACGTGATGATTAATGTGATGCTCACTAGTGACTGGCTCTATGCTAGAAGTTACCTGGAGTCCTAGTGAGAAGTCATAAAACACCGGGGTGTCCACCAAGTCAGGTAAGAAAACAGTTACTTGCCTATGATACTAGCTGGCGGTTCCTCTTTATGTATATGTCATGAATGGTTAGAAGTTGGAATTCACAGGCCACTGAATCGAGTCTCAGTGGTTGAATAGTTTACGAATTCACCTTGCAACCAGAAGGTCCTGGATGTGAATCCCGGAGTTGGGCATAGGTCGTGTTCCCGAAGAGTCCCGAACTGGGACAAAACCACTGTCCAGTACTCCCTGGTTTTCCTGTGATTCTCTAACTGATTTCATCTGTTGATCAAACTTCTAGCCAATCAAATCCCTTTCTATAGCTGGGTGTCCATTCAACAAAAGCGAAATTTGATTAGATCACTTGCTACCCGCATCCGACGCATTTGTAGTCCCGACGTTCTGGAAACAGAATTAGATATTCTGAGAAAAATATTCATCCAAAATGGATACCCAATAAGATTTATCGACAAAAATATGAAACCAATAATTCGGAAAAACGAAACTTTAACTGCGCCTAAAAAGAAAATCTACATGAACTTGGATTTCAAGGGAGATTTAGCAAGCGATATTCTCAGGAGAAGGATCACATCATCTCTGAGAAAACATTCTTTGCAGCAACGCTAAGAATAGTGTTCTCCAGTCGCCCACTGATCTGCAGAAGCCTCAAGGACAAGATCCCGCATCTGACCACTTCTATGTGCATATATCATTTCACCTGCTGCTGTGGGGCAAGATACATCGGCCATTCGACTCGTATCCTGTCCAAGAGGATTCAAGAACACTATCCAACATGGTTGCGAAAAAGCAATATTGGTGCAATAAGGAGTGCGATAATTGAACACCTGGCTAGCACTGATCATTCCATTTCAAAAAACGCCTCCTGCTTCAAAGTAATCTACAGAGTCAAGAATAACCTACCAAAGGCAATACGGTTTCGTCTTCTATGTATCGCTGAAGCTCTGGCCATTCACATGGAAAAACCGGAGCTGTGCATACAAAAGAAGATTACTCAACCACTTCTACTCTCATGGTAACAACTTTGTTGATTTTGATGACTTAGTTTTGTTTCTTTGTCTGTTCCTTAATTGCTTATAATTCTTGTATTCACTTAGATCTCTTACATAGTTTCGTATTATCTACTTTGTTTCTATGTGCATCCTGACTAAAACTCACTCATCAAACTATTCATATTATTATTACATAACTTCTTTTAACAACTGTTTGTGACAACTCATCACCTTTGTTACTACCCTAGCACTTAATTGTCTTGACTTTTATTACTGACCTTTACCTGTTTAGTCAAAATAACCTTAAGCAATTATAATTCTTGTATTCACTTAGATAATTTCGTATTATCTACTTTGTTTCTATGTGCATCCTGAGTAAAACTCACTATTATTATTACAACTGTTTGTGACAACTCATCACCTCTGTTACTACCCTAGTTTCATTAACACTTAATTTTTTGACCTGTATTACCAACCTTCACTTAACCAATTGTAATTTTGTTTGACAAACTTAATGTACACATGCATATATATTTGCGATTGTACAACTAAGAAAATGAATTCGCCGCCGAAAAGAGACTCTTCGCTGATCTATGTGTTTTGTTTTCATTAATGCCTGGATGGGGATTATCCATGAAATCTCTACAAATCAATACTTGATACTACTTTATCATTAGTAGTAGTATAGCAGTTGATGTGTCAGTCAACACGATAACTTTTTTCTTTTACCTACTTCAACAGGTTTTCCTCTTGTTTCTTTTTTTTCTAGGTTGTAGTTTGCTTTATTCTGACAATTATTTCAGCATTGATTCTATACATGCTATTTCTACTACTTCTTGAACCACTCTTGTCAACAAGACGTTTAGGGCATAAAACAATGGTTAATATTGGAATGTGTTCAGAATCGCATCAGACTGTAAGCTCTACTGTAGAACAAGATAATATTGGTAAGGCTGGTGATGTGAGATCATCAAATTCATGGAGTACAATGAATAATATGCCTGTAACTACTACTAGTAGTAGCAGTAGTGGAGTTGGCGATAATTCATCATTTTCATCAAAAGCATTTGATAAGGCGGTGATTTGGAATAAGTCTCAACTGAACTCTGAACAATTGATCAATTCAAATTTGAGAATAATTAGTAAGTTTCAAGTTTTTCTTTTTTTTTTTTGTTTTCGAATATGAATCTAACTAGTTTCTCTAAAATAGTTTCGTTTTATTCGTGTCTGTGATATTCACTGTGTGAGATGAGTCAAGCACGCTCATATATTGTGAGCGCTTATGCGCGACGAATTGCTAGGTGGCCTTCAATAAAAAAAAAACTCAGCAAAGCCTTTGAACTCTAGAAGGGAATAGGACAAGGTTGCCTACTATCACCGGTAATATTTCTGATTATAGTGGACTTGGATCATGTAGCGGACTGTGGGGAGCAAGAATACAGGACCGACAGGAAAACACTGAAAGATCTAGACTTCTTGGACAAAATATATTTAATGTCCCATAAACTTGAGGATCTACAGATGAAAAAACCAACAAATAGGCAAAAGAAGCAGCGACGACAGGACTTCAAGTGGGCATAGAGAAGACAAAGGTAATGAAGATATCACGCGTCAATCTTTGTGTCAGTGACAGGAATCTAATGGAAGTCATATATGTTGCTTACGTGCCTTGATCAGCATTGTTTCAGCTACATGCGTCACAGATGAGAATGTCAGACTCAGCCTGGATCAGGAACATAAAATTGGCCTTTATTATTTTGAAATCAGTGTAGAAATCTGTTTCACTCAGTATAAGAAAAAAGATTCAGATTTTCAACACTAGTTTCAAATCACTAAAAAATATTTTTAATAGACTCCAAACTTTCATCAGCAGCAACCGCCTTGACTGTCTGGATACTGAAGATCAGATGGCTGGGTGGCGGAAAAGGATTAGTAACAAGGAACTCTGCCAGGCAGCGAACCAGTCGAGGTGTGAAGCAAATGGAGATAGGTCAGTCATTCAGATGGGAAGCGACGAGTTAGGCATGGGTTCCACAGTGACAGTGAGGAGATCGTGTCAGGAGTAGGGGGAGGAATAAAAGCATATGGGCGATTTTCTTTGTGCTTTCCTTGGGGGGCTTTTGGTTTGATAGGTTGACTTGGGGGTATATGTCTCTTGATGAAGTTTCATGGATATCCATTCTCTTTTGGAAAACGTCCATGAGATATCTTTCTTCAATTTTTCTTAAAGTGGGAGTGCTGCAATGAGTCTTGGCCCTCTTGAATAGTGTTTGTATACAATTCCTTTTGTGTATTATTTGATTGTTGCTGTTGTAATTCAGTATTTGGTCTGTGTGAGTTGACTTCGTATAAACTTGAGTTTCTAATTCCCCTGTGGTTGTTCGCTTGACTAAGACGTCCAAAAATGGTATTTTGTTCTCGGATTCCTCTTCTCTTGTGAATTTTATGTCGTTAAAGACGTTGTTTATTAAGCTGCGAGTTTTATCTAACTCGTTTCTTTTGATTATTACAAATGTGTCGTCGACGTAGCGCATCCAAATCTTGGGTTTGATCTTTGGTAGAATTATGTTTTCGAGTCTTTGCATCACTGCTTCTTCAATCAAACCTGATGTTCGCGATCTCATGGGTGTTCCTTTGACTTGTTCATATATTTGGCCGTTGAATTGAAAGTACGTTGTTAGGCATATGCTGATGCATTCCATCCAGCTTTTGTGTCGCACTTTTGATTGTTGTCGCGGGGGGGGAGGAGGTGTTCATCGTTGCTGACGACTGCTGAGTGCTCAAGCCGCTGAAACCCCTTCTAGCTCCTGTGTGTGAGTGTGTGCGTGTCTGTTCGCTATTGTCTTTACTTGAAAAGGCATAAACTCTATGTGGCATTAAACACTTGAGATTACAGAAAATATAATGTAAACGAAAAATTACAGACCATAGTTAAAGAAAGCCAATAGTTCTTAAGTTGAAAACATTTTGTCTCTTTGTGATAATAAGAAGGTTGTAACAACGGTATACGTCATTTAAGAACAGTCATACACACGCACACACACCTGCATAACATTGGAATACAGAAGAAATAAGTTGAACATATCAATTAGTTATAAATAAGTCTTGAGGGAGAGGTAAAAGGATCGTTGATCCATTTGTCTGTGGGAGTGAATATATATATATATATATATATATATATATATATATATATATATATATATAGTTACACGAAATGTGTTGAATGCTTTATACACAGCATAAACAGTCTTAGATATTAGTATGTTTAACCTATGATCAACCTATAAGCACATAATACATAATTATCAGGATAATTAATTATAGGTTGAAAATATTGGATTGTAAAACAATTTCGATGGGAGAAAAAAAAACGGCCGAGGAGATTTATCTGTAGCTTTCTTTTTTTCTAATGCTATATATGTATAGAGAGAAGATTAGCCTTTTGACTTTTATTAGGTTGAGGGACTTAACTCACTCTACTAAGCATTGATCATTTTTCACCCATAAGCTTTAGTTACTTATAATCTCGTCGACTTGGAATATACAGACGATATAGTCCTGCCTTGTAGGTGAGGATGCTGATAAAATAGAGCAGAGTCTTCTGAACACCTTGAGCATCTGCAATCTACGAATGTTTGGCATGCCACTGGCTCTCGCCAAATGCAAGATGATGGGGTTACAGGACTGGACTACACCGACTCCTAGATTAGAAATAGGGAGTGAGTTTATAGAGCACGTTGACCGCTTCACTTATTTGGGTAGTGTTGTATGAACCAGCGCTAATGGGTTGATCTCTGACGAAATCTCAGTATGGATACAGAGGGCTAGTTTCGCATATGCCTGCCAGTTTATGCCGTCTCTGGCTTGGTAGACCTGATATCCGGCTGGGTGTCGAGCAAGGGGCGGGTGTACTGCTCATCATTCCGCTCCGCTCCGTCCTCCTTTATGGCCAGGTGTGAGACGTGGCCATTGAGAGTGGAAGACATGAAAAGATTAGCTGTCTTTGATCATAGGTGTCTGCGTTCTATCTCTCGTGTTAAGTGGTATAATAAGGTGAGCAATATTGAGGTTAGGCACCGGTCGAGTTGTTGGGTAAAGGGGGAAATCAATCGACGAGGCTGTGAAGCTACATCGACTGAGATGGTTGGGACATGTGTTATGTATGCATGGCTAATCATCGCCTTCCTCGACAATGGGCAATGTTAGCTGACATGGGATCAGGCTGGGAAAAAGCTAGCGGCGGTCAAACCAAAACATGACACCAATCAATGAAATCTACAACACTTAGTCTAAGCCACGTAGGAAGGTGTAGACTTCCTAACTGGTTGGGGTCCTCGGGACAGTAAAAACTAATGGCTGGAAAAAATCGGTGGTATGGCTCAAAATCGTTCTCAATGGCGGGTGCACATGCATCCACTCCTTGTGACTTATGATTTCCAATGAAACTATATTGTTCTTCGTTATTACTATTCCTTTGTCTCACACCTCTTTTTACTGTCTCTAATATGCATTTCTTGTACTTTCTTGTGTTGCTTTGTGTGGTACAAGGAGGGAGTGTGGTGACTTGAACTGCCGCACATTTGTGCAAAGTTCTATGTCGAAAACAAACAGACAGTTACTTATAACGGAGAAGATTTCTAGCGCATATGGATGATGGTATTGATGCAGTTGTGTATTCTCTGACCTGGTGTTGCGGGAGAACAAAAGGTACTTTTAACTGGCTGAATAACCGACTGACTGGTTTCAACATAGAACTTTGCACAGAAGTGCACCAGTTCGAGTTACAACACCCGATATACCACACAAAGAAGGAAAAAAGAGCGAGGAAAAGGGAGATTCAAAAAGACGATAATAAGCAGAAATGAGAGGAAGAAAGAGTAGTGACACGGGATAACCATAAGGTTTTGTTAGATATGTGAGATCACAGAGAGTGAATACATCTGCACCATTGATAACTATTTTTAGCCATATCACCAATTCCAAGTACGTCAGTCAGGAGGTCTACACTTCCCTACATGGTTGTCAAAGATTTCATGAAGTCATTCCATGTTTTGGTTTAACCATCACTGTTTTCCAAATTAATCTTATATCTCAGCTAACATTGCTCGTTGAGGAAGTCAATATCTAGGTAGCCGTAACACATGTTCTAGCCACCTTAACTGATGTCGTGTCATCACAACAGCACTGTCGATTAACTTCCCCTAACACTCGACACCTAACCTCAATATTTGTACAAACAACCATGAAATAATAATGGTAATTTTTCGATATCACAGCATTATACACTCAGAAACGATGAAAATCTCTCACAATACTCCAAAATACTAGGCTGAAGCTGGATGGAATGCATAAATATATGACTGATAACATATATTTTCAATTCAGTAGTCAAATACATGAACAGGCAAGAAGGACTTAATTGGTGAATGGTGACTAGCAGTGGAATACAGGATTCCCACTTCGTCCTATTTGGGATCGAGTCTCGAACCCAGTGCCCATAGTTTCAAAGGCCAAGGCGTTAACTAGTAGACCACTTGGGTCACGTGAGCCACCTCTTGTGCCTCGGTGGGAACATCATCACTGACTGCGGAATGCACATCCAGCGGACGAGTCCAAAATAGGACGAAATGAGCATCCTGGAATCCTCTGCTAGTCACCACCCACCAATTAACTTCTAACTACATGTCCAGACATCGTCGAAGCATCTGCACAAGAAGCCGACATGTTGACCTGAGACCGAGCACTTCGGTTCAATCAATCGATGGGAAAATCTAAAATTGAATTAAATAGGCAAGAAGGACACCTATGAGGTCACCCATATCAGGACTGATTGCTAAAGGTGTTATACAAAGACTTGAAACCATAATTCTACTAATAATTTGGACACGTTACATGATTGCCACTTTCTTGATTGATAATTAGAAGAAATAATTCAGAAAACACTCACAACCTAATGAACAATATCGAATTTACAAGAGAAGAGGAATTTGACGTCTCTTAGACAAGTAAACAAACACAGGAAAATTAGAAATTCAAGTGTACAGAAAATCAACTCACACAAATCAAGTAATCAATTACAACAGCGATAATCCAATAGCACACAAAAGTTATATGCAAATACTATTCAGAAGGGTCAGAACTCACTGCAGCACTCATACGTTGAGAAAAATAGAATAGAAATATCTTACGACTTTCTTCCAGAAAAATTGATATGCGCTAAATTTCATCGAAAAGAAAATGCCTACTCAAAAGTATTCAAATAAAGCACACACACATATGAAGTGTCTCTGAAATCACTCCAAAACTATTGAAACCTTTTGAAATACCTGTCGCCAACAAACCTAGAAAGTTCCATATTGGTTTGTTTATTAGATATATCACACAATGAAACAGTAGTGTTTACTGGATGATGTTTCGAACAAAATTTATCGTGGTTCATAATCATATCAATTGTAATCATACAATTTTGAAACTAGAGTTTTATGGTTTTCTTCGTCTTCTCCTATTTGGAGGAAGGACTGCACTACTCGCCGATGCCTTTTCGTAATCTCCGCCTACGCCCCCACTGACTGCAGTTCAGATGAAACGAAGGATGAGTTCTACCAAAAGCTGTCTAGTTTGGTGGAAAGGCTAAACGCTCAGACATAGTCGTTCTAGCTGGTGACTTTAACGCTCAAGTAGGGAAATTGTGTCAATCTGAGAAGGATGTCGGTGGCACCTATGGAGTTCCGTGCCAGCGAACCGACAACGGTGACCGTCTCCTACAGTTCTGCTCTGATAATCATTTGTTTCTTGTAAGCACTAACTTTAAACACAAGGAGAGACACTGTTTGACTTGGAGACCCCCTTCATCAAACCAACGCTGGACACAAATAGACCACATAGCAATAAGCTATCGTTGGCGTGGGTCGGTAGGAGATTGTCGCTCCTTCTGGAACACGTGCGTAGATACCGACCATGCACTGGTCCGCGCTCGGGTGTGCTTACGACTGAACGGACGTAGGAAACAGCTGGCGGTAAAACCATCACGTCCCCAGCTCGATCAGGAAACTAAATCCGTATTTCAGGAAGAACTAGCTAAACACATATCTGTGTTCGACAGCTGTGCTCACCCTGAAGAAGCTTGGAAAAATATCCAGGCAGCCATAGATACAGCTGTAAAAGCTGTGAATAAGGTAAACCCAAAGGTGAGTAAAAACCACTGGATCTCCACCGCCTCATCCGAACTGATAGATGCTAGAAGACTTATTCCGGCGAGCTCCGAATTCAATGAGGAGCGAAAGCTGCACAAGAGGAAACTTACGAAAAGTCTCCGCAAGGACCGTGAACAGTGGTGGGCGACAAAAGCCAAAGAGATGGAGAAAGCTTGAGGATAGGCAACACCAGGCAACTCTTTGGACTCATCAGGGAAACGGGTGGGAGAAGACAAATCATCAGTGAGACAATCTCGGAAAAAAATGGCACTATAATTAGCTCCAGGATAGACGACTGGATCGTTGGAAAGAGCATTATGAGGAGCAGTTTAATTTGCCCACAGCCACGCTCAACCTTCCGAGCATCCAACACCTCCCTGAATGGGATATAGACACAGGTCCTCCGTCACTAACTGAGGTTACTAAAGCTGTCACCAATCTGAAACTAGGCAAAGCAGCGGGACCTGATGGAATGACGCCAGAGGTATTTAAGTACGGTGGAGACAGCTTACTGTCCGGATTAACTGAGGTACTAGGCAGCGTCTGGGAATCAGAAGAAGTCCCATCGGGTTGGTGTAAGTCACTGATTATCCCCATATACAAGAAGGGAGACAAGTCTTCCTGTGATAATCACAGAGGGATTAGCTTGACTAATATAGTATCTAAAGTCTTAGGCTCAATAATCATGCGTAGACTGAGTGGTGCTCGGGAAGCACAAACACGAGAGAGCCAGGCAGGCTTTAGACCAGGAAGAGGGTGTATTGATCATATCTTCACCCTCCGACAGATTCTAGAACATAGGCATTCCTACCGGCGTCCAACAGTCATTATATTTCTTGACCTAAAGGCAGCATTCGACTCTGTCGATCGGGAAGTTCTCTGGAGATGCTTGGCTGTAAAGGGAATTCCGAGAAAATATATTGCACTGATTAAGGCACTCTATTCGTACTCATACAGCCAGGTGAGGGCTTACGGCGAGCTGTCATCTGAACTGATGACGACCAGTGGTGTCCGTCAAGGATGCCCATTATCTCCTTTTCTATTCAACTTCATCATAGATGTGTTAATGGACTTAACCCTAGGTGACTTCAGCGACTCAGGGATTGACTTGCTACCTGGGAATAATCTCGTTGACTTGGAATATGCAGACGATATAGTCCTTCTAGGCGAAGACGCTGACGAAATGCAGAGTCTTCTAAACACCTTGAGCCGCAATCTACGAATGTTTGGCATGCGATTCGCTCCCGCCAAATGCAAGATGATGTTACAGGACTGGACTACATCGACGCCTAGTTTAAAAATAGGAAGTGAAGTGGTAGAGCACGTTGACCGCTTCACTTATTTGGGAAGTACCATCAGCCCCAACGGGCTGATCTCTGACGAAATCTCAGCACGAATACAAGGGGCTCGTTTCGCATTTGTTAGTTTACGCCGACTCTGGCGTAGACGAGATGTTCGACTATCGACCAAAGGGCGGGTGTACTGCTCATCAGTCCGCTCCGTCCTCCTTTATGGTTGTGAGACCTGGCCACTGAGAGTGGAAGACATGAAAAGACTAGCTGTCTTTGATCATAGGTGCCTGCGTTCTATTTCCCGTGTAAAGTGGCATAATAAGGTGAGCAACATGGAGGTTAGGCGTAGAGTTCTAGGTAAACAGGGGAAATCAATCGACGAAGTCGTGAAGCTACAAAGACTGAGATGGTTAGGACATGTGTTACGTATGCCAAGCCATCGCCTCCCTCGACGAGCTATGTTAGCGGATATAGGGTCAGGCTGGAAAAAAGCTAGCGGCGGTCAAACAAAAACTTGGCATCAGTCAATGAAATCCACAACAGTTGGTCTAAGCCACGTAGGAAGGTGTAGACTTCCAGGCTGGGGTCCTCGGGACGGTAAAAATCTATGGTTGGAAACAATTGGTGACATGGCTCAAAATCGTTCTCAGTGGCGCAGATGCATCCACTCCCTGTGACTTATGATCTTCAATGAAACTGTTTTGTATTTCTTTATTACTCCTTTGTCTCACACCTCTGCTCACTGTTTCTATTATGCTTTTCTTGTACTTTCTTCTCTTGCTTCGCGTGCTACACGGAATGTGGCGACTTGAACTTCCGCACATTTGTGCAAAGTTCTATGTCGAAAACAGACAGACAGACAGACAGATTTGTCGTCATCGTGGTAGTAGAATTTTCCAGATATCCGACTGGATAGATGGTAAATCATTCCTATTACATGTATTTGCAGTTGATTCGATAAACAAAGCTTCTGTTATCAATCTCTCCCTCTCTCCACCCTGTGACATTAGATTTTAAAACTGCCATCCTATCCCATCCATTCCATTGCATGGTTGTGTGTAATTGCATTTAGTAAGTGCTATGGCTGAACTATTCTCTAGATTTCTTATCTTATTTGGGTCAGCCAATCTAGATTTTGCTAAGTTTTTATGTTCAGCTAGTCTGACTGACCGCACCTGTTCCACTACTATTTTGACCTATGTATTTGACCTGACAATCAACTCAGGCAGGGTATTAGATAAACTAAATTGTTTTGTTTTAAAGGCTCCACAGGATTGTTCAACTGACAAAGCTTGTTTCTAATTGAGTTTGTGTGTTTGAATGCCTTGTTAACAATTCTGTGTAAGGTTTCCGAGGTTCCTTCCTTGTATGGAATTACTGTTGATGATTTAGATTCCTTATTGTTCGTGTCGTCCTTAATATTATTATTATTATTATTATCACCATTATTATTATTATTATCATTATTAATGTTATCACTATTATTATTATTAACACTATCGCTACTATCATTATTTATTTTATTTTTAGATTTCCTTACACATTTCATGACTAATTTATCTGGATAATTAATTAGTTTCAAGGCTTCTTTTATGTGTATCATTTCTTGTTTTAGACTTTCCATGGTACCACATCTCATTGATATTCAAGTGTTGGTTTGTAGGGATTTGATTGGTAACAGGATTTCATCATGAGATGTTTTTTCTCTTCCTGTTTCCTTTTCAGCAGCTCCATCGAGTCGTGGACGAGTACGTCATCGTACTGCTGGTTCATTACATGATCAACAACTTGACGATTCAAATTCATTACATCTTACTCCAATTCCAAGTACATCTGTTGGAATGTCAAATGTAGTGAATCGTGTTCGTGATCAACAACAACGTTGGAAAGGAAATGTTGAAGCCCAACGTGCTCGTGTATTCAGTGAACGCAGTTTATTGAATTAATAATTCATCTGAATTATTCCGTTGATTATTCATACACCTATATAATATATCTATATCTATATATTTTATTATGTGCATTTCTTTCCATTATTCAAATGATTTTCCAATCTACCTGCCTACCTACCCATCTCTCTATCTATCTATCCATCTATCTACCATGTGATAATTTGTTAAAGCCATAGACAGAAAATTGTACGGTTGGTTAACAGTGCTGTGTTTTGTATTTGCTGAGTTAACTTTGATGCTGTCGATTTTGTCTTTTATTTTTATGTATGTCTGTGTTCGTCATCTTCGTCTCCCCTGTAATCAAAGGTGAATGAAGAGAAACAGAAAAAAAATCATTTCCTTTCATCTTATCAAATTTCTTTGTTTTTTTTTAATTTATCATACATACTACTTAGTTTCTTCTTTAAAGAATATATATAGACTTCAGTTATATGTTGAAATTGCTTTATTCTATTAATCTCACACAGCGTAATATACAGTTTTATTTCAGGTTTCTAAGGTGGATAAACTTCATTCGATTTGGTTATTTTTTTTTTAAATTATTTTTTTAAATGTGTTCCATTTTCACTTGCCTAAAGGTAAGACTGAAGATAAGTAGTGGAGTGAGTGGTTGAGCCTTACTGAATGATCACCAACTTTACTTATCTCATGTGGGGAGTTACCGACCGATGGCTGCTACCTTGGCGTGGAGGTCGGGCGCTTGCACATTACGATGACCCCCAACAAGCTACACTGGTTGGAACAAATGTTCCTGCAGGTTCTACCATGCCAGGAAGGTTGTTAGGATAGCAATTAGACTAAAAGCAGTTACTATCATAGTGTAAGAATTCTTCTTTTTTACACTATGCTGGGTGTCTGTGGGCAAAGTCGTACTGCCACTGGGGAAAAGGAATGTAACAGCAGTGAGGTGTTTCCCTCAGAAGAGATGGAAAAGACATCGGCGATTGGCAATACCAGACAACTATTTAGGCTTATTAGGGAAACAGGTGGGAGAAGGCAAATGATAAGTGAAGCAATCTCTGAGAGGAATGGCACGGTAATTAGCTCCCAGGATAGACGACTGGAATGCTGGGAAGAACACTATGAGGAGCAGTTTAATTGGCCTACAGCCACGCTTAGTCTGCCGAACATCCAACACCTCTCTGAATGGGATATAGACACAGGTCCTCCTTCCTTAACTGAGGTTACTATAGCTGTCACTAATCTGAAACAAGGCAAAGCAGCGGGACCTGATGGAATGACTCCAGAGGTATTTAAGTACGGTGGAGACAGTTTGCTGTCTGAGTTAAATGAGGTTCTAGGCAGCGTTTGGGAATCAGAAGAGGTCCCATCGAGCTGGTGTTACTCACTAATTATCCCCATATACAAGAAGGGAGACAAGTCTTCCTGTGACAATCACAGAGGGATTAGCTTGGCTGATATAGTATCTCAAGTCCTAGGCTCAATAATATTGCGTAGACTAAGTGGTGCTCGGGAGGCACAAACACGAGAAGGCCAGGCAGGCTTTAGACCAGTAAGAGGGTGTGTTGATCATATCTTCACCCTCCGACAGATTCTAGAACATAGGGATTCCTACCGGCGCCCAACAATCACTATATTCCTCTATATAAAGATGGCATTCGATTCTTTCGATCGAGAGGTTCTCTGGCGATGCTTGGCTGTAAAGGGAATTCCGAGAAAATACATTGCACTGATTAAGGCACTCTACTTGCACTCATGCATTCAGCCCAGGTGAGGGCTTACGGCGAGTTGTCATCTGAACTGGTGACGACTAGTGGTGTTCGTCAAGGATGCCCATTATCCCCATTTCCATTCAACTTCATCATAGACGTACTAATGGACTGAAGCCTAACTCACTTCAGAGACTCAGGGATTGACTTGTTACCAGGGAATGATAGTCTCGTTGACTTAGAATATGCAGACGATATAGTCCTGCCGTGTAGGTGGGGGATGCTGACAAAATAGAGCAGAGTCTTCTGAACACCTTGAGCATCTGAAATCTACGAATGTTTGGCATGCCACTGGCTCTCGCCAAATGCAAGATGATGGGGTTACAGGACTGGACTACACCGACTCCTAGATTAGAAATAGGGAGTGAGTTTATAGAGCACGTTGACCGCTTCACTTATTTGGATAGTGTTGTATCAGCCAGCGCTAATGGGTTGATCTCTGACGAAATCTCAGTATGGGTACAGAGGGCTAGTTTCGCATATACCTGCCAGTTTATGCCGTCTCTGGCTTAGTAGACCTGATATCCGGCTGGGTGTCGAGCAAGGGGCGGGTGTACTGCTCATCACTCCGCTCCGTCCTCCTTTATGACCAGCTGTGAGACGTGGTCATTGAGAGTGGAAGACATGAAAAGATTAGCTGTCTTTGATCATAGGTGTCTGCGTTCTATCTCTCGTGCTAAGTGGTATAATAATGTGAGTAATATTGAGGTTAGGCACCGGTCGAGTTGTTGGGTAAAGGGGGAAATCAATCGACGAGGCTGTGAAGCTACATCGACTGAGATGGTTGGGACATGTGTTATGTATGCATGGCTAGTCATCGCCTTCCTCGACAATGGGCAATGTTAGCTGACATGGGGTCAGGCTGGGAAAGAGCTAGCGGCGGTCAAACCAAAACATGACACCAATCAATGAAATCTACAACACTTAGTCTAAGCCACGTAGGAAGGTGTAGACTTCCTAACTGGTTGGGGTCCTCGGGACAGTAAAAACTAATGGCTGGAAAAAATCGGTGGTATGGCTCAAAATCGTTCTCAATGGCGGGTGCACATGCATCCACTCCTTGTGACTTATGATTTCCAATGAAACTATATTGTTCTTCGTTATTACTATTCCTTTGTCTCACACTTCTGCTTACTGTCTCTAATATGCATTTCTTGTACTTTCTTGTGTTGCTTTGTGTGATACAAGGAGGGAGTGTGGCGAATTGAACTGCCGCACATTTGTGCAAAGTTCTATGTCGAAGACAGACATCTGGGGAGTCATTATTTGTATTGTTACCTTCAGTTCCCAGCAGAACATAGGGCTTCCGCAGCATATCTCCACTTTGTTTTATTTTCTGCTGTCCTCCTTAGCTCACTCCACGACTGATCATAATCTTTCATCTCCTCCTCCCTAAACAATCTCCTGCATGTCACCCTTAGACAAACGACCTACTCGTCGCTTTCCACTTGGGTTCCACTCGAGCAATGGCCTGGTGTCGGTGGCACAGTGGTTAGGACTCTCGCCGACCATGCACATGGTTCGAGGTTCAACCCCCTGCCGACACACACCTGATATCTGTGGTCGGCCTGAAAAATTTGGGCTACCGATATCACATGTTGAAAATTCTCTACTTGTACCAAAAATACAGTGTGGAATCAAGCTGTAGTAAAAAAAAAAATCGAGCAATGGCCTGGCGCTCGATGTTATTCGATGGGTGGCTTCAGTGTGTGTGTGTGCCCCATTCAAGTCAATTTTCTTCTGCATAATTTTTGAGCTGTAGGCTCTCGGTTGGTCTACCCCCATAGTTTCTTCTCCCTAGTTATATCTGGCTGGCCATTTGATCTTCAGTATAGAGCCAGCGAAGGTGGCAGCTGTTGATAAAATCCTGCAGTAGAGCTTTTTGTGATGTGCTGGCCAAATTTCTGACTCATATAGAAGAACTAATTGTCTTGACATTGGTGTTAAAAATTCAAATCATGTTCTTTATGCTTCAGAGTTTTGATAAAGATTTCCAAATCGATTTTGGATTGATGAAGGTGAATCTTGCCTTTCAGATTCTGGCCTACTTTCACATATTCATCCGTGCTGACTACCTGTATTTGAAACAGTGAAACAGTGCTTCCTAGATAAGCGAAGGAGGCAACCTCTTTCAAATTTCTCCCATCGATAGTGATTAGTTAGTTGGGATAGTTACATCAACCCTAATAAGGACTGACTGATTGATTGCTGATGAAATTTCAGTATGGATACAAAAGGTCCATTTGGTCCATGTGACTAATATAGTATCTAAAGTCCTAGGCTCAATAATCATGCCTAGACTAAGTGGTGCTCGGGAGACACAAACACGAGAGAGCCAGGCAGGCTTTAGACCAGTAAGAGGGTGTGTTGATCATATCTTCACCCTCTGACAGATTCTAGAACATAGGGATTCCTACCGGCGCCCAACAATCACTATATTCCTCTATATAAAGATGGCATTCGATTCTTTCGATCGAGAGGTTCTCTGGCGATGCTTGGCTGTAAAGGGAATTCCGAGAAAATACATTGCACTGATTAAGGCACTCTACTTGCACTCATGCATTCAGCCCAGGTGAGGGCTTACGGCGAGTTGTCATCTGAACTGGTGACGACTAGTGGTGTTCGTCAAGGATGCCCATTATCCCCATTTCCATTCAACTTCATCATAGACGTACTAATGGACTGAAGCCTAACTCACTTCAGAGACTCAGGGATTGACTTGTTACCAGGGAATGATAGTCTCGTTGACTTAGAATATGCAGACGATATAGTCCTGCCGTGTAGGTGGGGGATGCTGACAAAATAGAGCAGAGTCTTCTGAACACCTTGAGCATCTGAAATCTACGAATGTTTGGCATGCCACTGGCTCTCGCCAAATGCAAGATGATGGGGTTACAGGACTGGACTACACCGACTCCTAGATTAGAAATAGGGAGTGAGTTTATAGAGCACGTTGACCGCTTCACTTATTTGGATAGTGTTGTATCAGCCAGCGCTAATGGGTTGATCTCTGACGAAATCTCAGTATGGGTACAGAGGGCTAGTTTCGCATATACCTGCCAGTTTATGCCGTCTCTGGCTTAGTAGACCTGATATCCGGCTGGGTGTCGAGCAAGGGGCGGGTGTACTGCTCATCACTCCGCTCCGTCCTCCTTTATGACCAGCTGTGAGACGTGGTCATTGAGAGTGGAAGACATGAAAAGATTAGCTGTCTTTGATCATAGGTGTCTGCGTTCTATCTCTCGTGCTAAGTGGTATAATAATGTGAGTAATATTGAGGTTAGGCACCGGTCGAGTTGTTGGGTAAAGGGGGAAATCAATCGACGAGGCTGTGAAGCTACATCGACTGAGATGGTTGGGACATGTGTTATGTATGCATGGCTAGTCATCGCCTTCCTCGACAATGGGCAATGTTAGCTGACATGGGGTCAGGCTGGGAAAGAGCTAGCGGCGGTCAAACCAAAACATGACACCAATCAATGAAATCTACAACACTTAGTCTAAGCCACGTAGGAAGGTGTAGACTTCCTAACTGGTTGGGGTCCTCGGGACAGTAAAAACTAATGGCTGGAAAAAATCGGTGGTATGGCTCAAAATCGTTCTCAATGGCGGGTGCACATGCATCCACTCCTTGTGACTTATGATTTCCAATGAAACTATATTGTTCTTCGTTATTACTATTCCTTTGTCTCACACTTCTGCTTACTGTCTCTAATATGCATTTCTTGTACTTTCTTGTGTTGCTTTGTGTGATACAAGGAGGGAGTGTGGCGAATTGAACTGCCGCACATTTGTGCAAAGTTCTATGTCGAAGACAGACATCTGGGGAGTCATTATTTGTATTGTTACCTTCAGTTCCCAGCA